GAGATGTTGGCCACGACAAACAGAGGAATATCACGTGAAGTGAGAAGCGTTGAAAAATATAAAGGGGCAGAAATTACTTCATCAAGAAAACTAAATTTTAATTAAAACCCAGTACACATGCAACGTTGAGACAATGTGGTTAACATAGGTGTACACACACAGTGTGGTTAACATACAGTGAGGGATAAAAAATTTGATCCCCTGCTGATTTTGTACGTTTGCCCACTGACAAAGAAATGATCAGTCTATAATATTAAAGGTAGGTTTATTTGAACAGTGAGAGACAGAATAACAACACAAATCCAGGAAAAAATGTTATAAATTGATTTGCATTTTAATGAGGGAAATAATTATTTGACCCCCTCTCAATCAGAAAGATTTCTGGCTCCCAGGTGTCTTTTATACAGGTAACGAGCTGAGATTAGGAGCACACTCTTAAAGGGAGTGCTCCTAATCTTAGCTTGTTACCTGTATAAAAGACACCTGTTCACAGAAGCAATCAATCAGATTCCAAACTCTCCACCATGGCTAAGACCAAAGAGCTCTCCAAGGATGTCAGGGACAATATTGTAGACCTACACAAGGCTAGAATGGACTACAAGACCATCGCCAAGCAGCTTGGTGAAAAGGTGACAACAGTTCATGCGATTATTCGCAAATGAAATAAACATAAAAGAACTGTCAATCTCCCTCGGCCTGGGGCTCCATGCAAGATCTCACCTCGTGGAGTTGCAATGATCATGAGAACAGTGAGGAATCAGCCCAGAACTACACGGGAGGATCTTGTCAATGATCTCAAGGCAGCTGGGACCATAGTCAACAAGAAAACAGTTGGTAACACACTACGCCGTGAAGGACTGAAATCCCGCAGTGCCCACAAGGTCCCCCTGCTCAAGAAAGCACATATACATGCCCGTCTGAAGTTTGCCAATGAACATCTGAATGATTCAGAGGACAACTGGGTGAAAATGTTGTGGTCAGATGAGACCAAAATGGAGCTCTTTGGCATAAACTCAACTCGCCGTGTTTGGAGGAGGAATGCTGCCTATGACCCCAAGAACACCATCCCCACCGTCAAACATGGAGGTGGAAACATTATGCTTTGGGGGTGTTTATCTGCTAAGGGGACAGGACAACTTCACCGCATCAAAGGGACGATGGACGGGGCCATGTACCGTCAAATCTTGGGTGAGAACCTCCTTCCCTCAGCCAGGGCATTGAAAATGAGTCGTGGATGGGTATTCCAGCATGACAATGACCCAAAACACACGGCCAAGGCAACAAAGGAGTGGCTCAAGAAGAAGCACATTAAGGTCCTGGAGTGGCCTAGCCAGTCTCCAGACCTTAATCCCATAGAAAATCTGTGGAGGGAGTTGAAGGTTCGAGTTGCCAAACGTCAGCCTCGAAACCTTAATGACTTGGAGAAGATCAGCGGACACAGCGGAGACATCGAGAGAGAGACACGGGGAGAGACACGGGTGGAGAGAGAGACACGGGTGGAGAGACACGGGTGGAGAGAGAGACACGGGGAGAGAGACACGGGTGGAGAGACACGGGTGGAGAGACACGGGTGGAGAGACACGGGCGGAGAGAGAGACACGGGTGGAGAGACACGGGTGGAGAGACGCGGGTGGAGAGACACGGGTGGAGAGACACGGGTGGAGAGAGAGACACGGGTGGAGAGACACGGGTGGAGAGAGAGACACGGGTGGAGAGAGAGACACGGAGACACGGGTGGAGAGACACGGGTGGAGAGACACGGGTGGAGAGACACGGGTGGAGAGACACGGGTGGAGAGAGAGACACGGAGACACGGGTGGAGAGAGAGACACGGGTGGAGAGAGACACGGGGAGAGACACGGGTGGAGAGAGAGACACGGAGACACGGGTGGAGAGAGAGACACGGGTGGAGAGAGACACGGGGAGAGACACGGGTGGAGAGAGAGACACGGAGACACGGGTGGAGAGAGAGACACGGGTGGAGAGAGAGACACGGAGACACGGGTGGAGAGACACGGGTGGAGAGACACGGGTGGAGAGACACGGGTGGAGAGACACGGGTGGAGAGAGAGACACGGAGACACGGGTGGAGAGAGAGACACGGGTGGAGAGAGACACGGGGAGAGACACGGGTGGAGAGAGAGACACGGAGACACGGGTGGAGAGAGAGACACGGGTGGAGAGAGACACGGGGAGAGACACGGGTGGAGAGAGAGACACGGAGACACGGGTGGAGAGAGAGACACGGAGAGAGACACGGGGAGAGACACGGGTGGAGAGAGAGACACGGAGACACGGGTGGAGAGAGAGACACGGGTGGAGAGAGACACGGGGTGAGACAGACACGGGTGGAGAGAGAGACACGGGGTGAGACAGACACGGGTGGAGAGACACGGGTGGAGAGACACGGGTGGAGAGACACGGGGGGAGAGAGAGACACGGGGAGAGAGACACGGGTGGAGACACGGGTGGAGAGACACGGGTGGAGAGAGAGACACGGGTGGAGAGACACGGGTGGAGAGAGAGACACGGGTGGAGAGACGGGTGGAGAGACGGGTGGAGAGAGAGACACGGAGACACGGGTGGAGAGACACGGGTGGAGAGAGAGACACGGGTGGAGAGACACGGGTGGAGAGACACGGGTGGAGAGAGAGACACGGAGACACGGGTGGAGAGAGAGACACGGGTGGAGAGAGACACGGGGAGAGACACGGGTGGAGAGAGAGACACGGAGACACGGGTGGAGAGAGAGACACGGAGAGAGACACGGGTGGAGAGAGAGACACGGAGACACGGGTGGAGAGAGAGACACGGGTGGAGAGAGACACGGGGTGAGACAGACACGGGTGGAGAGAGAGACACGGGGTGAGACAGACACGGGTGGAGAGACACGGGTGGAGAGACACGGGTGGAGAGACACGGGTGGAGAGACACGGGTGGAGAGAGAGACACGGGGAGAGAGACACGGGTGGAGACACGGGTGGAGAGAGAGACACGGGTGGAGAGACACGGGGAGAGAGACACGGAGACACGGGTGGAGAGAGAGACACGGGTGGAGAGAGAGACACGGGGAGAGAGACACGGGTGGAGAGAGAGACACGGAGACACGGGTGGAGAGAGAGACACGGGTGGAGAGAGACACGGGGTGAGACAGACACGGGTGGAGAGACACGGGTGGAGAGACACGGGTGGAGAGAGAGACACGGGTGGAGAGACACGGGGAGAGAGACACGGAGACACGGGTGGAGAGAGAGACACGGGTGGAGAGAGAGACACGGGGAGAGAGACACGGGTGGAGAGAGAGACACGGAGACACGGGTGGAGAGAGAGACACGGGTGGAGAGAGAGACACGGGGAGAGAGACACGGGTGGAGAGAGAGACACGGAGACACGGGCGAGGTAGGGAGACACGGGGTGAGACACGGGGACAAGGGGGGGAGGGCGGAGACACGCGGAGCCTCTGGCGGTCTCCACTCGTAGTTTATTCGGGTTCAAATAGTACAGAGCAGTGTAAATCACAACACTGATAAGTCTAGGGCAGTGTAAACCATAACACTGATAAGCATCACGCGTTAGCTCTTGTAGCAACATCAACATCACCAACATCATCATCAACATCACCAACATCTTCATCATCAATATCAACATCATCAATATCAACATCACCATCATCACCAACATCCTCATCATCAACATCATCATCATCACCACCACGAGGGGTGAAGGGAGGGGGGCGAGGGGGGAGGGGGGCGGAGGGCAGGAAGTGGATAAGAGCAAGTCGTGGGGCGAGGGGGGCGGGGCGAGGGACGAGGGGGGCGGGGCGAGGGGCGAGGGGGGCGGGGCGAGGGGCGAGGGGGGCGGGGCGAGGGGCGAGGGGGGCGGGGCGAGGGGCGAGGGGGGCGGGGCGAGGGGTGAGGGGGGCAGGGGCGAGGGGCGAGGGGGGCGGGGCGAGGGGGGCGGGGCGAGGGGCGAGGGGGGCGGGGCGAGGGGCGAGGGGGGCGGGGCGAGGGGCGAGGGGGGCGGGGCGAGGGGCGAGGGGGGCGGGGCGAGGGGTGAGGGGGGCGGGGCGAGGGGCGAGAGGGGCGGGGCGAGGGGCGATGGGGGGCGGGGCGAGGGGCGAGGGGGGCGGGGCGAGGGGTGAGGGGGGCGGGTTTGAGGGTGAACTCAAGTGACCCGACAGACGTTGAGCGCAATTCTTTGTTTATTTCGGTAAAGTCGCGTAGATAGGGAACACAATATTAATAATAAAAATAATAAAATATAAAAATTTAATAAAATACAAAAAAATAAAATAACAAATAAATAAATAATACCCCCCGTTGACAGGAAGAGGGAAATAAATCCCCTCCCCCACAATTTGGCGCCCTTTGCACGACGCGACTCGGTGAGCAGCTCAGTTCAAACGGCGTGAACACGCGGGACGCATCGTGGGTGGTGATCACCACCAACATCAACAACATCATCACCACCACCATCACCACCAACACCACCACCATCATCACCATCAACACCACCATCATCACCATCAACACCATCACCACCATCAACACCACCACCATCATCACCACCACGATCACCACCACCACCATGACCCCCCCTCCTCCTGCCCGGCCCCACCCTCCCCTCTCGTCGTCTCCCGTAGCTCGAGCCGGCGGCGGCTACGAGCAGCAGCAGCAGCAGGAGCAGCAGCATCATCATCAGCAGCATCATCAGCAGCAGCAGCAGGAGCATCATCATCAGCAGCAGGAGCAGCAGCAGGAGCATCATCAGCAGCATCAGCAGCATCATCAGCAGTATCATCATCAGCAGCATCATCATCAGCAGTATCATCAGCATCATCATCAGCAGTATCATCAGCAGCAGTATCATCAGCATCATCATCAGCAGCATCATCATCAGCATCATCATCATCAGTGAGCATCATCAGCATCATCATCAGCAGCATCATCATCAGCATCATCATCAGCAGAATCATCATCAGCATCATCAGCAGCAGCATCATGCCCACGTGGACGCTGTGCTTGGGCAGCAGGACGAGCTTGATCTCCATGGCCGGCATCCGCTACGAGGGCACCCTGAGCGGGGTCAACTCGGACGACTGCACCGTCGCCTTGGCCAAAGGTCACGCACGGGAGGGTCACGGGTCAAAGGGGGTGAGGGCTTAAACAGCAGGACGGCTGCTTGTGTTGTAGCCGAAACGTCGTGAGAATTATTTTATTATGTTTTATTTTATTATTTTATTACTTCCCTTCTACGTGATGACTTTACCGAAAGAACCAAGAAGATGAATCCCTGCAGTCACGAAAGCTTTAAATCGAAAAAAAATCAGTGACTGCTTTAGTGTTAAAATACGGTGCTGTATTTTTAGGATAGTGTGTTTACAATATCATTTTACGTAGATATCCACATTCACTTAATATTTTTCTTCCGCAAGTTTTTATTGAAAATGCAACAATATTTGACATCATCTCAAAAACCCGACGTGATGGACAAAAAACCGACGCCAGGGTTGGGATGAAAAGCGCGACCTCCGATAGACACCAGGCGAGGTGGTTCACTTCTCACCACCGTGGCGCCCACACACCCACCACCACCACGGCACCGTTAGCGGCGTTAGCGTCGTCTTTGTGCGTGCGCAGTGCGTGTGTGCGGCACGGAGGGTCGCCCCGCCGAGCGAGCCGTCGCCCCTCGCGAGGAGATCTACGACTACATCATCTTCCGTGCCAGCGAGATCAAGGACCTGGCGGCGTTGGGGTGCCCGCTCTCCGCTCTGCACCCCCACCTGGCCGTCGTGCAGGTGAGAGGGGGGCAGCCGTTCTCTTCGCCGCCAAACTGGTTGGTTACTTTAGCGGGCAGGATCCCACCGAGATATTTAACTCTGATCATTGGTTGTTTACCCTGTAATCTGGCAACAAAACTGACAACTTTTTTTTACGAGGAGTCGTGTTTGCATTGACCGCAATACCTGCAGTCGGAATGCAAAACAAAAACACCCAACTCTGATAATGATTCGAGATTTGAAGCTTTGGTGACTGTAAAAAATACAATTTAAATTAATAAAAGTAAAATAAAAAAAACTTTTTATTTTACTTTTATTAATTCTGATAATATATGCACTGTCCTTGAAGTTGATTGGTCCATACCCGAGACAGCTTTCCTTAGAGCCTAGTCTCACATGGAGTTGGTCCAGATGACGACAAAAGGCGCACAACTCAAAGACAATGCACCATCAGAGTATGAGAGCTCGGGGTAAAGCATTTACACCATTGGAACCTCATTTGCCAGTAGAAAAATATGATAATTGGTTTTTTACCCTTCTATCTGGCAACAAAACTGACACCTTTTTTTACAAGGAGTCATGTTTGCATAGACCACAATACCTGCAGTTGGAATGCAAACAAAAACATAACTCTGATAATGTGCACTGTCCTTGAAGTTGATTGGTCCACACCCGAGACAGCTTTCCTTAGAGGCCAGTCTCACATGGTGTTGGACCAGATGACGCCAAAAGGCGCACAACTCAAAACATGACTCCTTGTAAAAAAGGTGTCAGTTGTGTTGCCAGATAAAAGGATAAAAAAACCAATTATCATATTTGTTGTTACTGGACACGCTACGATTGATCCCGTCGCTGCGTGACCACCCACCCTCGCCCCCGTCCAGTCCTCCTCGTCACGGGGCGCCCGCCCCCTGCGGGACACGCAGCGCGGAGCCCGCCGGCTCGTGCGGGACACGGCGGACGGGCGGCGGCCTGCACACGGAGGAGCCACAGGTACGGGCGGCGCGGTAAACGCTGGGGATGCAAAGGTGGCCGGGCGTTGTACCGCCTGCCCGCCCGCCCCCCTCTTGCAGCCAGCAGCCTTTGCAGGTGCTCGCTAACGGAGCTTATCCTGACGTCGTACGGAAATCCGATGTTTTTTTTATTTAAATCCTTTATATTAAGTTCACTTGCTTGCGCGCTTAGGACCGTGCAAATCTTTCGGTCATTTTTTAACCCACTTCCCGTGATGCAATCGAGCTGATATTTTGCACACAGACTCGTTGTGCGTGACAATTTATGTTCGTGAAAAAAAAATTCCTAAATTTTACACTTTTTAGGTAATTTTTTTTATATTTAATTACCAATTTCTTAATGCTGCCACGCAATCATCTGACCCATAGGTGGCAGCCATCTCAAGCCAGAGGACGAGAGGACTCTAGCCGCCACGCATATAAAGGATTTATAGTGAAAAACTTAGTTTTTACGGGTTATACTTGTTTAAATCCTTTATATTAAGTTAGCTTGCTTGCTTGCGCGCTTACGACCATGCAAAATTTTCGGTCGTTTTTTAACCCACTTCCCATGATCCGATCGAGCTGACATTTTGCACACAGACTCGTTGTGTGTGACAATTAATGTTCGTAAAAAAAAATTCATATTTAATTTAAAATACCAATGTGATAAAAATGAAACTCTTACTCAAGAAAAACAGAAATGAATAATAAAATAAAACCGATGCCACGCATATAAAGGATTTATAGTGAAAAACACATGCACACACACACACGCGCACACACGCACTCACACACACTCACACACACGCACACACGCACACACGCACACACTCACACACTCACACACTCACACGCTCACACGCTCACACGCACACACACTCACACACACACTCACGCACACACTCACTCACGCACACACGCACACTCACACACGCACACACTCACTCACGCACACACGCACACTCACACACACTCACACACACACACTCACACACACTCACACACACTCACACACACACTCACACACACTCACACACACACACACTCACACACTCACTCACACACACTCACACACACTCACACACACTCACACACACACTCACACTCACGCACACACACTCACACACACTCACACACACACTCACACACACTCACACACACACTCACACGCAGCTGCACTATCTCCTACAGCCGCGAGGAAGAGCGCCACGGTGGAGCGGGGGGTGCAGACGTCCCCCCAGCGTCAGCAGCGACGGTGTCAGAGCACGAAGCGGATTGCCGCCCAGACTCCCCGTGGGGCCCCGGAGCCGTGCGTTGAGTTGGACGCGGAGTTTGACTTTGCGAGCGCCAACGCTCGGCTGGACCGTGCGGCGCTGGATAGGGAGTTCCGGGGCAGGGAGGCCAAGCGGAGAGAAGGTGGGGCACTCACTCACACGCTGCCGCCACCCAACAACTCACTTCCTCCGCTGCTGTATCGGCAAAATAGAAATCTTGTCACTCAATTTTGACACACTTCCCAATGTGGTACCGACTGCAAACTTGTCATCATCACGGTGGCTATGAGATGTTAACTACCTCGCCTGGTGTGCAGGAGGGCGTGGGTTTGATCCCAACCCTGACGATGCCTGCTGCTGTATATTTGGAGTTTGTGTGTTTCTCTCATCATCATCATCATCACGGTGGCTAGGAGATGTTGACTAACTAAATTACCTTAAAATCGTTGGAATACCTTATGCCAGGAAAAGTGTGTTGACCATCTTCTTGGTTCTTTCGGTAAAGTCATCACGTAGAAGGGAAATAAAATAATTCTCACGACGTTTCGGCCACAACGCATGCAGCCGTCCTCAGGCGAAGACCAGGTTTGTCGAGGAGACAGCGCCTGAATGTGTGTTGACCAGTGGAGTCTGGGTTGGGTGGGGGGGGCGGATCTTTGTGTGTTTAATTGTCCAGGCGACCCCCTCACTTCTGCTGTTGCGTCTCCCCTTGTGCAGCGGACAAGCTGAGGGGTCCCCGCACGAGCTCCCCCGTCTTCCTGGACGGCTGCTTCTACGACAAAACCAGGAGCTTCTTTGACAACATTTCCAGGTAACGGCCGTCTCTGCCGCTCGCTCGTGGTGTGTGTGTGTTCTTGTTGGATCTCCTCGCCTTCAAGTGCAACGCCTGCTGGGGGAGGCGATGGGGGAGGCGGCAGTACAGCAAGCGGGCTCCGTCTCCGTCTGTGCGGAGATGGTGTTGCTGTCCCCCCCACCCCCCACCTCGTGTATAGAAACTCACAAACGGAGTTGGCCTAACCATCCCAATATAGGATGACAGAGCTTGGGCAAATTGTTTGTGCCGTTCCTGGCACATCTGGAAAGTTTGGGCGTCGCAAAAATGCGCGACGTTAACTTGAATCGGCGCGCCAAAACAAATGCACGCCGCGTGAATTGCGTAGTTGCACTTGATTCGGAAAAAATCCCAGCCCCGAGAATAAGAGAAGGACGTGCAACTGTTTGACTGGGCACCAGACGAACATTTGTCTAGACGCAGGATGGCGTGGAGCCGTGCAGGGACCTCTCTGATGTCGGGTTTAGACCATTGGAATATCATTTGTCAGCAGTAGCAGAATATGATCATTGTTTTTTTTACCCTTCTATCTGTCAACAAAACTGACACCTTTTTTTACGAGGAGTCGTGTTTGCATTGACCACAATACCTGCGGTCAGAATGATAATATATGCACTGTCCTTGAAGTTGATTGGTCCATACCCGAGACAGCTTTCCTTAGAGCCTAGTCTCACATGGGTTGGAACAGATGACGCATTACGGCTGCAGGTATTGTGGTCTATGCAAACATGACTCCTTGTAATAAAGGTGTCAGTTTTGTTGCCAGATAAAAGGGTAAAAAAACAATTATAATATTTTTTGCTGGCAAATGAGGTTCCAATGGTAGCCGTTTGCGACCCTGGTGCGGCCGGGTACGGGTAGGCCGTGAGTCACTGGTGAGTCACCGTTTGTCACTCATTCCGGGTAGGGTACGGGTAGGGTATTGGTACGGGTAGGATACGGGTACCCGTTTGCGACCCTGGTGCGGCCGGGTACGGGTAAGAAATCAAAACCCGTCTGCGACCTCTGACCAGCCGTGCTCACCCCCCCACCCCCGCCCCTCCCCCCTCCTCCTCCTCCCGCCAGGAACTGCCGCGTGACGTTGGCGGAGCAGTGGCGCCTGAACGTGGCGACGTTCGGGGCGGACCTCTCCATGTCGCTCGTTCGCCGCTCCCGCCGATGCGGGGCCCTGTGGGGGGGGGACGGGCGGCCGTGCGCGCCCAAAGCCGCCGGTGGGGGGGGGCGGGCAGTCTCCTCCTCCGGCCGAGGTGCAGCCTAGACAGGTGACGACCGTGGTGACGGTGACAGCAGCTCAGCTTATTGGAGAGTATATTTAGTATATTGATGATACTGATGTAGTTTATAATTACGGTCGCGCCCAAAGCCGCCGGGGGGGGGAGGGGGGGGGCAGCCTCCTCCTTCTCCGCCGGCCGAGGTCCAGCCTAGACAGGTGACGACCACGGTGACGGTGACAGTAGCTCGGCTTATACTGGTAGGAACGAAGTGGACCAGCCTACAATAGATTATATCGTCCGTCCGATGTCCGATTAGGTGTAGCAACATCGCCCCCTACTGCAAACACTTGGCAGGACCCTACAAAAACCTTTAGACTCAGTGAGGCTTTCCTGGCTAAACAAGTGTAACATTCCCTTATAATTCCCTGAGATAGTTTTTAATTAAAACATTTAAATTAAAAATTAACTCACAGCAGCCTAAAGCCTACAGCTAGGCCTAAAGCCTAGAACTAGGCCTCAAACTCTCCCTTCGTATCGTATTTGTTCGCTCCTACCAGCCCACCCCGCAGGGACCTGTTTGGAGAGTATATTTAGTATATTGATGACACTGATGTAGTTTAAATTTACGTTTTTTTACGTGGTAGCTTAGCTGCTGCAGCTACCGTACTATTAACATTCCTTCCCTTTCTAGATTTGAAGCTTTCGTGACTGCGAGGATTCATATTGTTGGGTTTTTTCGGTAAAGGCACGTATGTAAAAAAATTAAAATTAATAAAAGTAAAATAAAATAAAAATCACGACGTTTCGGAGGCAACACAAGCTTCCGTCTTCAGGTGGAACCGTCACAGCCACGACAGCTGTATCAAGTAAATGAGAGATTACATTTACGAGATTACATTTACTTGATACAGCTGTCGTGGCTGTGACGGTTCCACCTGAAGACGGAAGCTTGTGTTGCCTCCGAAACGTCGTGATTTTTATTTTATAATTTTAATTTTTTTACCTATGCGACTTTACCGAAAAAACCTAAGAATATGATTCCTTCCCTTTATTAATGCTACCCCTACTCCCTCCCTTCGATGCTGCTAATCCTGCATAATATGACTTTGAAACCCCCCCGCCCACCTCCTACACATTCCACAAGTAGTGACTAATCCCATATCGGAATTTTCCACAAATAAACTACATTCCTCTGTTATGTGAGTCCCTTTGTCAAGGCGCTCTCCTCCTCTAACCCAGCTTAAATATACGCTGCAAAGCCTGGCGGTGTTCATTCAGACGCTGTCTTCCCGGCAGGTGAGGGCGGCTCTCTGCAACACGATAACGGAAGTCTGTTGATGTTGCTTGTGAGGTTCTCCCCGTGAGAACACGCTGCTCCGTGGAGGATCAGAGAGAGACCATTTCATGGGGTATGCCGATAGCATAATAAGTATAACCCGTAAAAACAAAGTTTTTCCCTATAAATCCTTTATATGCGTGGCGGCTAGAGTCCTCTCGTCCTCTGGCTTGAGATAGCTGCCACCTATGGGTCAGATGATTGTCTGCCAGTATTAAGCAATTGGTAATTAAATATTTAATTTGTTTTCCCTAAACAGTGTAAAATTTTGGAAAAAAAAATTCACAAACATTAATTCTCGCACAACGAGTCTGTGTGCAAAATGTCAGCTCGATTGGATCACGGGAAGTGGGTTAAAAAACGACCGAAAGATTTGCACGGTCGTAAGCAAGCAAGCACGCAAGCACGCAAGCAAGCAAGCGAACTTAATATAAAGGATTTAAAAATGAGATGTGATGGAGCAAATCTTGAGATCAGATTTGGAAATCGGCACCCTGAAATTAGTCCAGAACAACTGCAAAAGTCCAGGCCAGAACTACATGTTGTTGTTTTGTTTGTTGACCAGTGCGATACAATTTGTGTATTACATCGTGAACAACTCTTCTAAATCAACGAGCGCTCACACAAAGATGTGGAGGAGTTTGTTTCAAACGGCAGTCGCTTGTCAACGCTCTCGTGCCCCACGTTAGAGATTGGATGGCGCGGAGAAATGTCGGCCACAATCGGCAATTCTCCAAGTGACAATCCAGCCCTTTGCGGGGTTTGACCACGATCTGTCGTGTTGCTTCTTGACGTCGCTAATGCCGCTCACTGCTGCTGCTGCTGCTGTTGTTGTTGCAGGTTGCAGAGAACCACAGCTCCCACCCAGAGCGTACACATATTGGGGGTTTGTTTGATTTGAAAAAAAAAATAGTGTTGGGTCTGAAGAAACGTTACGTTAAGGACTGCATGTGGGTTTCGATTTAAAGATTCTTTCGTGACTGCAGGGATTCATCTTCTTGGTTCTTTCGGTAAAGTCACATAGAAGGGAAATAATAAAATAATAAAAACATAATAAAATACAATTCTCACGACGTTTCGGCCACAACGCAAGCAGCCGTCCTCAGGTGAAGAACAGGTCTGTCGGAAAGACAGCGTCTGTCTTTCCGACAGACCTGTTCTTCACCACAACGCAAGCAGCCGTCCTCAGGTGAAGAACAGGTCTGTCGGAAAGACAGCGTCTGTCTTTCCGACAGACCTGTTCTTCACCACAACGCAAGCAGCCGTCCTCAGGTGAAGAACAGGTGTGTCGGAAAGACAGCGTCTGAATGAACACACCAAGCTTGGCAGCAATATACACAGCAATATACGCTGCCAAACCTGGTGGTGTTTCATTCAGACGCTGTCTTTCCGACAGACCTGTTCTTCACCTGAGGACGGCTGCTTGCGTTGTGGCCGAAATGTGGTGAGAATTGTAATTTATAATGTTTTATTATTTCCCTTCTACGTGACTTTACCGGAAGAACCAAAAAGTCTGCATGTGGGTTTTGTTAATTGATACGCGATTCTTGCAATGTTTATGGTGTGTACACAAGGTATACACCGCGTTTGGTTGAACACTTTAGACGTTTATAATTTTAAAGAAAGTTTTGAACTTTAGTCTAATGGGTGAAGGTAAAACATGTCTGTTAAGTCGGACTTTAAATTGTCTCCTGAAATGGGTGCTTTTGTGCGACCGGTCTTAATCTGAAATGAGCATGGACATGACAATTTAATTGAGTTGTGTTTGTATTTCACAAGGCAGCATTAAATGTTGCGGGATTTATATTGGCGCATTGGCCGTGGTGAAGTGTCTGGCGAAGATTAAAGTTGACCGGCTGTTGGCTTTAGAACATTGCTTCTTTGAATTTACTGCGTTGCTTTAGATTGCTAGTGTGTATAGTGTGTGTGTACTGTGTGTACTCTGTGTGTGTAGTCTGTGTGTGTACTGTGTGTGTGTGTACTCTGTGTGTGTAGTCTGTGTGTGTGTACTGTGTGTGTACTCTGTGTGTGTGTACTGTGTGTGTACTCTGTGTGTGTACTGTGTGTCTGTACTTTGTGTGTCTACTCTGTGTGTGTACTGAGTGGGTGGGTGAGTGAGTGGGTGAGTGAGTGGGTGGGTGAGTGGGTGGGTGAGTGGGTGAGTGAGTAGGTGAGTGAGTGGGTGAGTGAGTGGGTGAGTGGGTGAGTGGGTGGGTGAGTGGGTGGGTGAGTGGGTGAGTGAGTGGGTGAGTGAGTGGGTGGTTATTTAGCAGGGTTAAACTATTTACTCAAATGTTTAATCTGCACTAATTACGAATCTTTTGTTTTATCATCAGACAAATTACAAGGAAACTGATTTTTTTTCATCAGTGCGAAGTCGTGTGAAGTAGTAGATTCAGTGTGACGCGGCTCGCAGGGAAGGGTGCGATGGACCTCGCTGTGAATCCCAACAAGCGCCGAGTGAACGTTGCCTAGATTTGGCAAACGCGGCGTTAACGAGAACAACGGAATAAACGGAACAACGGCACTTGGTCGCTAAGCGCATTCAAGTGGCGACGTCACAAAACAACGGCGCTTCCACATCATGAAGATGAAGCGCATGCAGAGTGTGTAGTAGGGTAGTGCATAGTGCAGTGTAGCTTGTGGCGTGTCGCACGCGAGTGAAGTGTATATAGTAGAACGCAGCTCGTAGTGAGGGGTACACGCTGGATGTCGATGCCCTAAACAGCTTTGTGGGGGTCGCGATTTCAGTCGAGGCCCCCCCTAGACTGGGGCTGGAGGCTACTTGCAAGCGAATTGATCGACGGTCCACGGGCAAAGCTTGCACTTGACGTTCTCCTTGAGCTGCTCCTTGCATCCGCACTGCGTCTCCAGCGTGACTGGGGAGGGAACAGCAGAGGGGAGAGAGCTCACGAGATCGTCGCTATTGTGCGACCGCCGTTAACGTCGAGGTTAACAAAATCTCCGCGCACTTCTCCTCCCGACGTTGTCAAACGACCAGAGGTCGCAACCGGGTACCCGATACCCGTACCCTACCCAATACCCGTACCCTACCCGATACCCGTACCCTACCCAATACCCGTACCCTACCCGATACCCGTACCCTACCCAATACCCTACCCGATACCCGTACCCTACCCGATACCCGTACCCTACCCTACCCAATACCCTACCCGATACCCGTACCCTACCCGATACCCATAGCCGTTTGCGACCCTGATGCGGCCGGGTACGGGTGGACCGTGAGTCACTGGTGAGTCACCGTTTGTCACTCATTTCCCAACGTCTTGTCTCTTCTCACAATTCAAGTTCCTAGAATCAACCCACCCGCGCCTGCAACATGGCTTCATCCCAGAGGTCGCAATCGGGTACCCGATACCCGTACCCTACCCGTACCCGGCCGGGTACGGGTAGGGTACGGGTACGGCCGGGTACCCGCTTGCGACCCTGGTGCGGCCGGGTACGAGGGGTAAGGAATCAGAACCCGTTTGCGACCTCTGCGAATGACCCGCGGGGAAGCGGCCGTCGCAGAGCCACTGCCGACGAGATCCCTTCGAGCGACCTAAGGATC